GGGGAAGCGGGCTGGCTGACTGAGGGGGTGGGACGGAAGAAGGAGGCTGGAGTGAAGCTGAGGAGGGAGGAGCGGCAGATCCCCGAGGAAGAGGCCGCGTGTGGCCCTGAACCGCCTGGGCCCGTGGCCGGAGAGGGAGAGCTGGGACTGGCGCAGGGGAAGAGATGTGCACCGGCTATGCATTACAGGGAGGGCCAAGGAAAGAGAAGATGCACCCGGCCTCAGTCTTTGGACCTGGGAGCCCTGCTGTCCCAGGACACTGACTCTGCCTCTTCCTCACAGGTGATCATTTCACTCCCCACTCAGACCAGTCCACTGAAATTCCATTGCTTTCTATCAACTGAAGTTGCCATCATTTTAGCTTGCAAAGGAACGGGTAAAGGTTTATTCCATGCCGAAAAGCCACACCAGAAGAAGGCTCCACAGCAGAAACCCTGTTTCTTTTCTTCTCTTTTCAGCATAGAATAAACCTTTACTTGTTCCTTTGCAGCCTATGCATGCTGACGCAGCTCCCTACTTGAACAATTTTAGCATTACTTAGTTATTTCTTATGAATACTGTGCATGTACAGTATATTCAATGTTTTTACATACAGCAAAAACATTGACATAGACTGTGGCACCTAAGAGCATATTCCAGACCTATCAATATATGATTTTTTAAATGTATTTTTCAGTTTTGTTCAGCTTGTATCATATGGCCTAGACACAGAAAGGATAAAGCACCTCCGAACTTTTGCTGAAACGTAGCTACATGGCTTCTGCAGACTAAAGTGACACCATATCAGCGAATTAAAGAACACAAAAGGAAAATACAGCCTGCCAAGAGACACACACCCGCCTGTCTTTCGCTGGTACTTGTTTCTGCTTCAGACACACTCTGACCTTTCAAAGTATCTTCAGCACCAGCTGACCTTACTGAATGACATTGAGCGCGAGCCATCTCTTTCACATTCCAACTCAGCATGTCTCACCAACTGTACGGGTAACCATTGACCTTTATGAGTTTTTTTATTTGATGTTGGGCACTGGTTTATGTAAGCAATTGAAAAATTGGCAGCTGAGTTTGAATTGAAATTTTAGGCCAAAGGGAGGAGGAAAGAAGTATCTTTGTTAGATGCATATTTTTGGAAGGGCACAGGAGGCTGTTAAGAACTAGATGAGTTAGCTCATAGCATCAGTTACAGTATTTGTGAGTGTAATTTAGAAATTACCATTTGTAAAAGTCTACCTGAAAGGATCTTTTGTTGAAATGTGTGTTCAGTTTCGTTGCATTTCATTGCCTGAATGTCATGGATCTTAAATTTGTTCATGCATTCTGCCTTTGAATTACATCTCTTCTTAAGATTTTTTTATTAGAAATAGTGTCAGCTGTTCCATGAAGTTGCTTACATGTTCATGATTAACGGATCGGGTCGTGATTAACAGTTTTCTGGTTTTTAACTGCAAACATGGGAGAAAATACAGTATATGATCAAAAATATGTGTGGAAGTAAATTGATTTTAAAAATAAACAACCCTGAAGGAACTTTTAAAAGAGTTCAAATTTCACTTTCCCTGTAGACGTTACCAGTGCAAAAAAATCTTCTGATTTTCGAGAAGTGTCAAACATTCTCCTGCTCATCTCTGAACTTGCCTGTGTTTGTGTTTTCCCTGTCAGCCAACACAGCTGAGCCCTGGCCATTTCTGGGAGCATGTGGAGGTCAGCCTTCGAGAACAGAGCGAGAAGCTGCGCTCTGACCTGGCCTTGAGTCTCCAGGACAACAGGGAGCTACAGGAGAGGCTGATGGTATCCGAGGCAACAGTGCAGGCCCAGGCTGAGCAGCTCAAGGAGTATCGAGTCCTTCTCTGTAAGTTCTGTGTATACTGCTGCTCTTCCTTAGAGTGAGATGTTAATTTATGTCTTGAGGCAAAATAACATCTCTCATAGCTCTCTTAGTTTAAATGAGGCAATTTAATTATGTGGAGAAATGTTTATGTACACTTCATGTTTAAAATGTGTAGTCCTTCAATACAAAAATGTGCCATTTTCTAACCACTTGTGCTACAGAAGTACCTCTTTAATACTTTTTAATAACAATATATTTTAAAGGCCTCTCACTTTAAAATGCTATTCAATATAGTAAATTGTATCCTCTCCTGTTGCTTTTTTTAAGTTGGGTGTAATATAACTTTCGCTGGTAGCTGTTCAGCAATCCGAACTGAAATTAGACCCGAGGTGGTTTTTCAGGATGGAGACCCCCTCCTGTTCTATGCTGCCATGTGTGTTGAAATGGCAGTGCCCACTCACTGACAGCCCTGTCTGTGTGTGTGGCTCTCTAGCCGAGACCTCAGTGGAGCAGGACAGCAAACAGGTGCAGGTGGACCTGCA